CTAAAAGAAATAAAAAATTAATTCTCAAAGGAGTTGATCCAAAAGAATTTTAAAAGAAGAAATAGGAGGAAGAATAATAAGAATAAAAATAAAAAGTTTAATTAGAAGTGGAAGACGTTGTAGAAAATACAACCCTATAGGTTAATTCCAAGAGACTTAAAACATATGGAGTGTGATTTTACATATTCTTTTGTTAATAGCATTAGTTTGTTGTTTTTATTAAAATAATCTATATTATTTCAATGTAATTTTTTAATAATTAAATTAATATTATTAATTAAATACATTGTTATAAGTCAAATTTGAATAGACATTGCTATATGTTATTAATATTTAATAAGATAATTAATGAATTCATAATAAATTAGTATTTTATAAAATATATATGAAATACTGATTTTTATCTCTAAATTAATTTAAAAGTAATAAGGAGCATAAATTATTTCATCAAGAGTTATGGTTTTTTTTAATAAATTCTTTTTTAACAATTCAGTTGTAATATCGAGTTTTGAATGATTAAAAAGTGTTTATATTAAAGTTTCTTATTATCAATTAATTGTCTAATGTCTGATAAAAATACCTTAGAACCTCCATGCCGAAGATTTTTAGGAAATGATCATAACTATATTAATTTTAATCTCATACAGGCTCACCAAAAGCTCAGAGATAGTGGATGCAAGAGAATAAATTCAATTGTAAAATTATATATAAGTTAGAAATTCTTAACAAGGATAAATTGCAAAACTGATGCTTCCATGATCAAAGTTGGACCTCCTAAACATGACGTTTTACGACTTGCCTATAGAAAAAACTAAATACAAAGAGGATGGATATTTGGCCAAAGTTTTATATCTGATTATAGAAGGGTAGTACTTAAATGTAACAAATCCGGCATTCGATCAGTAGCTTTAAACCATTTTAACTAAAAATGAATAAGATGAAAAGCTTATAAGAATTGATTAAAAATAAATATAAGAAATCTAGAATGATTTGACATATTCTGAAAGATACGTTGACTACTTGAATAATAAATATCATATACCAAAAGATTATTCATAAAAAATTAAAAAGGTAATATCAATTCAAAAAATTAGATATAATAATTGAAGTTGTAAATAAAGTAGGAATTGGGGATTAGTCCATAAACATCACCTCGAAAGATAACATTATAAAAGGCATAAACATTTTAATTAAGCCCTAATCATTGTATAGAACCTTCTGTTTTTATTAAAAATTCTTATGGTGCTAAAAGAGTTTCAAAGCTATAAAAAGCTGAAGTTGATAGCATAGTTGATAGTTTAAGACAAGAATCAAAAAAATAAATTGATTTTTAAGATAATGATTCATGTAATGTCTAATCAATGAAGCAATCAAGATCAAAAATGCTAGGGTCTCTTTTAAAGAGGATTTAAAAATAAAATCAAATGGATTAATCAAATATAAATACAGGTTGTGTATCATCACCAATATCAAAAATGAAGAAATCAAATTCTTCAATTTTTGCAACTAGATTTTCAAGACCTACTGAAAGATCAATTGATTAAATCAATATATAATGATTAAATTATTCNAAATACATTGTTATAAGTCAAATTTGAATAGACATTGCTATATGTTATTAATATTTAATAAGATAATTAATGAATTCATAATAAATTAGTATTTTATAAAATATATATGAAATACTGATTTTTATCTCTAAATTAATTTAAAAGTAATAAGGAGCATAAATTATTTCATCAAGAGTTATGGTTTTTTTTAATAAATTCTTTTTTAACAATTCAGTTGTAATATCGAGTTTTGAATGATTAAAAAGTGTTTATATTAAAGTTTCTTATTATCAATTAATTGTCTAATGTCTGATAAAAATACCTTAGAACCTCCATGCCGAAGATTTTTAGGAAATGATCATAACTATATTAATTTTAATCTCATACAGGCTCACCAAAAGCTCAGAGATAGTGGATGCAAGAGAATAAATTCAATTGTAAAATTATATATAAGTTAGAAATTCTTAACAAGGATAAATTGCAAAACTGATGCTTCCATGATCAAAGTTGGACCTCCTAAACATGACGTTTTACGACTTGCCTATAGAAAAAACTAAATACAAAGAGGATGGATATTTGGCCAAAGTTTTATATCTGATTATAGAAGGGTAGTACTTAAATGTAACAAATCCGGCATTCGATCAGTAGCTTTAAACCATTTTAACTAAAAATGAATAAGATGAAAAGCTTATAAGAATTGATTAAAAATAAATATAAGAAATCTAGAATGATTTGACATATTCTGAAAGATACGTTGACTACTTGAATAATAAATATCATATACCAAAAGATTATTCATAAAAAATTAAAAAGGTAATATCAATTCAAAAAATTAGATATAATAATTGAAGTTGTAAATAAAGTAGGAATTGGGGATTAGTCCATAAACATCACCTCGAAAGATAACATTATAAAAGGCATAAACATTTTAATTAAGCCCTAATCATTGTATAGAACCTTCTGTTTTTATTAAAAATTCTTATGGTGCTAAAAGAGTTTCAAAGCTATAAAAAGCTGAAGTTGATAGCATAGTTGATAGTTTAAGACAAGAATCAAAAAAATAAATTGATTTTTAAGATAATGATTCATGTAATGTCTAATCAATGAAGCAATCAAGATCAAAAATGCTAGGGTCTCTTTTAAAGAGGATTTAAAAATAAAATCAAATGGATTAATCAAATATAAATACAGGTTGTGTATCATCACCAATATCAAAAATGAAGAAATCAAATTCTTCAATTTTTGCAACTAGATTTTCAAGACCTACTGAAAGATCAATTGATTAAATCAATATATAATGATTAAATTATTCAATTATATAACCTTTTTTTTATATTTCATATATTTCATGTACAATGTCTTTAGAATCAAAAGAAGCTTTATAAATAAGGTTTACTTCATGATAGAAAATCAGCTGTAAAAGTTGGTAGCTTCAATTTAACTAAAAATATCTTGTTTAGTACTAATTTTCTTATAATTAAATATGAAGAGTTATATAAACATTGCCAAGCAGAAAATACCATCTTTGATCCTTAGATTCTGTTTTTTAGACAATTTCCCTCTACTACATTTTTTAGTTGTATAAACAATTATTTTATTGATTTTAGTAGTATCTTATTAATTGAGAAATCAATTTTATGGTAATATAAAGTTAAAGTTGATTAAGGAAGACAAAACTTCTTATCAAAAACGTAAAATTAATGTTCCAGCAAAATAAAGTTTAGTCATATTTGTTAATATCAAATAAATCTTTTTAGAATAGATGTAAAATATTTAAAAATCTTGATTTATTATAATCTCATTTTTAATAAAGTTAATTTGGGGTTTTTATCATTATTTAATCAACATTATGACAACAATTAATATTTGGTCAATTAATGGAATTACTATTTATTTAATACAATAATTTTAATATAATTATTCTGATTAAAAATTGTATATATAGCATATTTATATTCATGTATCAAATGAATTTGAAATTTTTATTTTTGATTCTATAAGATCAAATTAAAATCTTAAAGTTCTTATAAATTTTTACATTTTTTTGTTAGTTTTGAATCAATGACAATTAAATATGGAATCATTAGTTTTGACTTAAAATGAAAGATGGATATTTTGTATTGTGTGAATCCTCATATCACAATAATAATTTAAGAAAACAACATATATTAATAAGAACAGAATTATCAATTTTTATTTGGAATAAAATTTTATTTGTCAGTTTATGCAAGACATTCGCTAAATGAGATAAAAATATGAATCAATAAAATAATCAAATCCAAACACTCCTAAGAAATGTCTCACTCCTACGATATCTGCATAATATATCAAAAATAGTCCAGGATTATAGATGACTCCTCCATCAAATCCAAGACTTAAAAAAATATGCAATAATTGTTTAAATCAATCACTTATGAAATAAAAAGAACATAGAGTTTAATAACAACGATAAGAGGATTAAGTAAATATATTTTTATAGATTTATTAGAAATTATTCTAATAAGTCAAATAATCAATAGATTAAGAAAATTAATATAGAGATTAGTTGGCTGATAAAAACAGAAGAAAATTCTTAACTTATCATAAAATTAATGGTGATTTAATTCAATTACATTAATAAAGAATTAAAACTGAATAATAAAATGAATAAGTAGAAGTAGCTAACTTTTTTAAATAGTTAGAGAAGGATGATAAATTAAGGAAAATAAAGTAAATAGAAAAAAAAGAATAATTACAATAATATTATTTAAGAGATCTTAAAAATTAAATTTAATTTAAAGAAGAAGAAAAAAGTTAGTAGAAATTATAAAACAACAAATCTGATATAATAGAGTCTCAATATTGGACATCATTAGAGAATGAATAAATACATAATTAATAAATTAAAGCCTAATAATAAAGATAAATGATAAATTATTGGTAATATACATTAGGGGAAAAATAAAAATTGAAATAATAATAATAAGAAATTAATAAAATAGAATAAGAATAATTAAAGTATTTATAGAAAAGTAATGATAAATTGATTTAAGCTACTGAATTAGCAAAAAAGTAATAGATAGAATAATTCAAATAAGAAATTTAAAATTAAGTTAAAATTAATGAATAAAAAAGAAAAAATGAGGAAAACAAAAAATAATAGGAGTATTATATTATGATTTAATAAAAATAATAAGAAGAATAACGTGAAAAATAAAAATAATTGGATAAGTCAATTGAAAAGTTAGCTTTAATAAAGGATATAGAGTAGTAGATTAATTTTAAAGTAAATTATTCTTGTTATGTAGTAAAAAGTTTAAAAAGATGATAAGGAAAGAGAATTGAGTGAAAATGAAAAGAAATTATTGATTTAGGAAACTCCTATAAAATTAGTCTGCTGTGATGAATGCAAACATAATTGTCCATCAAAAGTTATTACTAATATATTATAATGATAATAATTTTAAAATAATGTAATTGGATGAGAGTAATAAAACTAAGAGAAATGATTAATCTATCCTTAAAGAAACCTCTAAAAATAGAAATGTAATTATCTTTAATTATCATGCAAGATAGTTTCTAAATTACAAGGAAATCCTGCAAGATTATAGGGTTTGAAAGATAGTTTTAAATACTTTACTTTATTAAAAAAGAATCAATATTTGGAAAGAAAATAATATAGAGTTACTAGAGATGAGACTCTTGTTTGTTCCTGTATTATGTGTCCTGAAGATTAAATATAAAAGTATATTAAATTGTTAAAATAGTCGACCTTAAGGTCCATAATATTCATATAATTGCGGTGAGAGATGCTTGAATAGATTTACTTGTACAGAATGTGATGTAGAGTTATGTCCATGTGCAGAATAATGCAAAAATAGAAGATTTTAGAAACATGATGATGCATGTGTATATCCATTACGTTGTGGAGGAAAAGGAATGGGTTTATTTGCTGGTGAGCGTATTTTGAAAGGACAATTCATAATGCAATATGTTGGAGAGATATTTCAAATAAATAGTGCATTTGGGAGAAGACGAGTGCAAGAATATTCGGTTTGAATTGTGTGTTTATCTTAGAAATCTACATGCACATATTTAATGAAACTTAACAATTAAGAAGTTATTGATCCAACATCTAAAGGGAATCTAGCTAGATTTATAAATCATTCTTGTGAGCCTAATTGTATTACTGAGAAATGGAATGTTTTGGGTGAAGTATGTATAGGTATATTTGCAATACGAGACATAAATGAAGATGAAGAATTAACATTTGATTATTAATTTGATGTATTTCATACACCATTAACTAAATGTTTATGTGGAGCAAATAAATGTAAAGGATATTTAGGATTAAAACCAACTGATGTAACATAAGAAGAATGGGAAGAACATTTAGAAAATATGGTATGTAAAATATGTCAAACTAAAACACCTTAAGATGATGAGTAATTATTGTTATGTGATAAATGTAATTGTGGATTCCATTTATTATGTCTTATACCTCCATTATCATCAGTACCAAAAGATGCTTGGTATTGTTAGGAATGTTAAGATGAGAAAAGAATATTAGCAGAATCTGAAAAAGAAAAAGAAAAGATAGAAGATTTATTATTATAGAAAGCAAAATAATTGAATAATGAAAAAAAAAATAAGAAAAAAATGGATTCTTCATCTTCATCAAGTGATTCTGATAGTGAATATGATAATAGATATAAGATGATGAAATCTTTAGAAAAATAAACAGTTAGAGAATATTTATAATAAAAACAAAATTAATAATATTAAATTAATAAATTAGAGGAAGATATTAATTAAAATAAAAAAGATGATTTAGATAATAATATTTCAAGTCTACCTAACAATTCAAAGGGTATCAAATCTACTGGCATTTCATTTAATAACTTAGATTAATTTGTTAGATCATCAATAGACTTACAACCTTAAAATAGTGGTAAACTATAATAGATGCAATCTATTGTTGATGTAGCTTAGAAAAAATTTGAAGAATAATATAATGATAATATTGAATTACAATAATAAATAGAATAGATTTAAGTTTAAAATATCCAAAATATTGATACTAAAAAAGAATGTTTTAAAATTAATATACTTGAATAGAAAGTAGTCAAAAAGAATGCTCCATTAATTTATAAGATTGGAAACAAAATCAGTTTTGAATAAATAGATTAATAATATGCTGATTTCTTTAAGAAAGAGAATAATTTGACTGTTATTGGTTCAGTTTAATAAATAAGTATCTTCAGAACAATATTAATTATGATTGAATAAATAATAAAAGAACTTAAAAAAGAACTTGGTATCATTGAAGGATAGATTAAAGTACCAATTATATATTTAAAAAGATTAATAATGAAATTGTAATTATTTAATTATAATTGTTAATAGCAATAGTTTAGATAAAAAATAAGAAGTTAATATTATATATAATAAATCATTGGCTCATAGTGAAGAGATATTTCCTATGGATAGAGCTACTCCAATTAAAATTAAAGGATCTAAATAAAATATTGAATCAACTGTTTAAGAGATATCAAAAATCTTAAAAACATTATGTGTTTAAAGATTGTATATTAGTAGAAGTGAAACTAAAACAGTTTAGTAAAACATGTATCATCTAAAATAACATGCTGAAATACGTATTTCTAGAGATTCTGTTTATAATGCAAAAGGAGAATAAACTTAAAGAGATATTAATCATCCATTCTTTTATATATAATATAGAGAGAAAGAAGTCTGTCTAATTGGTACTCTTTAATAGATTTAAGATACTAGTAATGCTATTAAATTACTTTTGGAATAAGAGACTAATAATGATAAGGAAATGACTTATTTTACTGTTCTCATTTCTCCATAATATAAAGAACAATGTAAATCAGTTAAATAGAGGATTGAAAAAGATTCATCTTCTACAAAAGTATTATTGTTTGAAGCATCACATCCTAGAAAGAATATGACTATTTTGATATTATGTTTAAGAAGTCAAATTAAATAAACTAAATAAATGTTTTTTGAAATGATTTAAGAGGATTGTTAATTAAAATTAGAATAATTTTAAGATTAAATGTCAATGTAAATGTGTAGATATGTTTTTAAATACCTTTAAAATACTATGATGACAAATGATATGGCATTTATGAAAAATTGGGATCTTATTACTCCTTATTTTTATTAATTTAATATTTTAAAATATAGAGAATAGAAATTTGATAATTGGTTTGTTAAACGTTGTTATCCATCATTACTTAGAGATTATGAAACATAATTATATATATAATATTGTTTAGGAAAAGAAATCTAAAAGAATTTAACTGATTAAGAATAAATATAGAGAAAAAAGAATTTAATTTTATTGACAAAAAAGATTTTAAATGCAATTTTGGGATTTAAAAGACATTAACCAGATTAAATATAAATGGATGGAAATTAATAATAAGATTAATTTAAAAGATTTAATAGTGTATAAGAAGATGATACTCCTAAATTATAAAATTTACCTTTAATTTATTTGATTCCTCAATCATCTTAAATCAACAAAAAAAGTGATAGATAGAAGAATAGTAGTGATAATAGTTCTTCTGATTCTAGTAATAATAATTAACATTAAAAGAGATAGAATAGTTCAGAATCAGGTAAAAGTAGAGATGTTTCAACTAAATAAAAGCATAAATCACATCATCATAGATATAATTATAATTAAAAAAGTTCTGTTGATAGGTATGATAAATATAAATATGAAAAATCAAATTATTATGATAAATAAAAATAGAAATAAAAATATTAGAGTAATAAATATGATAGACCTAGAAATAGTAGAAGATATTATGATGATAATGATTACTCTAAAAATAGAGGATATAATAAAAGAAGTAATTATATTATCAAATATAAGGATCCAGTAGTGAAGGTTCATAAAAATCTTAAGATTATAGAAGAAAAAGATAGGATTCTGTAGAATCTGATAAATATAAAAATAATAAGTATAATAGTGGATTTTAATTTGAAAGAAGACATTCAAAAACTTACAAATATGATTATGAAAGTAATATATTTATTTTTAAATAATTAGAATCTAATAAAATACAAGACAATAAAGAAAGATCTCGATCAAGATAACGTAATAAATCAGATAGTAGCGAAGACTATAGAAGAAGATCCAAATCAACTCATAAATCCAAAAAATATTATAGAAAGTATTAGTGAAATATAAATATATAATTTATTATGGATTAAGTTAAGCCAAAAGTATTTTTTGTTTTAGGAGGTATTCTTAAATTGATAAATCAAAATAGGACCTGGAGCAGGAAAAGGTACTTAAAGTGCTAAAATGGTTGAAAAGTATCATTTTGTTCATTTATCTGCAGGTGACTTGTTGAGAGAGGAGGTAATTTAGTAAAATATGTTTTAAGAGATAAAAAAAAACACAGAATGCTGAATTGATAGAAGAAATCATTAAGAGTGGATAAATAGTCCCTGTAATTATGATACATATTTTAATAGAGTCATATTACTATTAGTTTATTAGAATAAGCTATGAAAGCTAAAGGTTTAGATAAAATGTTTTTGATTGATGGATTTCCTAGAAATTAAGAGAATTTTGATGTTTGGGTTAAATTAATGGGTGATAAGGTGGAATTTAAAAAATTGTTTTATTTTGAATGTGATGAAGAGATCTTAAAAAATAGAATAAAAATTAGAGCTTAAGAGAGTGGAAGATCTGATGATAATGATGAAACATTGATTAAAAGATTGAAAACATACAATGAATCTACAAGACCAATTATATGTATAGATTTATTTGTAAGGTTTTAGAATATTTTGATTCTCTTTCACAATGTATCCATATAATGGCAGACAAAAATATAGATGAAGTATTTTAAGAAATTACAAAGAAATTAGATGAAATCTTGTGATATTAAATTTAATAATGCATGCAGATTCATTTCTAACCACCAAATATACTAGTTTTAACCGTTCTTTGCACAAAACTAGATCTTATTCCTTTTAACAACATTCAGTAGATAATGCTCGTCCTAATCTCAATTAAAAGAAAGAAATTGAAAATAATAGATAATAACATCATAGTGTCAATTATTTATAATAAATCCCTCAGAATATCTAAATCATAGCTCTCTTTTAAAAACCAATTATTGAGTAACTATTATTGAGATAATCTGATTTATATTTGAAATGTAAATGATTATTTAGTATAACTATAGAATTTAAGATCTAATTAAGTTTAATCCTTGATTAAGGTAATTTGTAATAATTTTAGGCACTAATCTGTATGACTGCAGATATTTTACTAAAAATTAAGGATTTTAATAATGCCTGTTATTACTATAATTAATATGTAAATTTAATATAATATTTGAGAGAATTTTAAATACTTTAACAAAAAATCACTCAGAAAAAGCAGTATCTTTTATTGGATTAGCTAATTGTGCAACAGAAGTTAAAATGAATAAAGAGGCATTATTATTATTGAAAAAAGCACTTTAATATTCATGGTTATGTAAAGAACATGAAATTTAAATATATGAAAGAATGGCTATAAACTATTATTATTTAGGATAAATTGAAGATTAATTATATTTCCATGAAAGAGGATTACTTGGTGTATTTGAAGCTGAAGATTCACCAATAAAAAAATTCAGTTGTGAAGCTTTAAGAGATTAATTAAGAAAAAATGTTATTGAAATTAAATCTCTTTGTCCTTAATTATTGAATTATTTGAATCTTCCTATTTTAAGTGAAAATGAATTAAATAATAAAAACCCAAATTGTATGAGAAGATTTCATACTAAAAAATAGATTATATACACAGCTTAAGAATAAATAGAAGTTATTCTAAGAAATTGTGATGAATTTTAATTTCAAATTAATACTCCAAGATATTAAAGATTAATTTAATATGAACCTTAAAAAAAATAAACTGAGGAATTTCGTCACCCTTTGGTTACTAAAACATCATATTCCAAAGAAAAAAGAGTTTATGATATTACAGATTCAACTATTTATAAATTACCTTTTGAAGTTTAAGTAAATAATAGAATTGAACATCCTTATATATTTGAAGACATAAATTCTAAGATGTATAAATAATTAAGAACAAGAAATCCTAATAAAAAATTTGGTTTGAGAAATAAAGTTCTTTTAAATCATTAAAATAGAGAAGATTTTCATTATTAGAAGAATGGAGCCTGTCTTTATAGATAGATTTAAGCTATTTTTAAGAAATATGCATATTTATTTACTTGAATCAAAATATACATTTATTATTTTCAGAATAATTATAAATTATGACAAATTTATTATTAATTGCTCTTCTTAAATTATTATAATATCATTCAAAATTTATACTGAATCCAAGATGCTCAATTAATGTCTTCTATATTTCCTATCTATCTTTTCCCAAAAATATTAGCTATAATAAAATCTTAAATTTACTTTATCATTTGTTCTTGTAGGCAAGAAAGGTTTTAACATTTTATAAAATCCCATTACAAAACCAGACATATTAATGATGAATACTTTATTTTGTCTTTCTGGAAAAAACTATAAAACCATATTAAGAAGGCTTTTAGTCATTTAAAGATCAAAATTGGAGAAACCAAATCCATCTACATCCAAAATTGTAATATAGGAATCTACAAAACCTTTACAAGATCGACAAACATCCTCAAGAAAACCAATAAAATACCACTTATATCTCTCTAGATCTCTAAATATATTAAATCAATTAATACATTTTATCTGGTTATAATTTAGATTATTTTGTATATACAACTTATCTTCCACATAAACTTTCCCCCACAATTTCTAATATTCCATTAAATTCTGGAAATTATTTTGCTGATAAACGATTAATTCTATGTTATCTTCTCCATTCCTAAAATAAATAAAATATATTATACAATCCAATTCATTATAGCAGCATATGAAGCATCAATATCAAATCTAAAATTACAAAATGTTATAATTACACCCTCTTGCAATAAGCCATCTTATCAAAGTATTACTAGACAGTTTGTATTCACATACTTTTTAAAATAATTTATAATAAATATCCTAGTCTTCTTAATCTAATTAAGTAATTCTATTATAAATAATATTATATATATCATACCTAAAATGTTCATTAATATATTTTTCATCTGTTTCTTTAGGTGAATAATCACATGTATCATTGTAATTACATACATATTTATTTGTTTCATCTTCATCTTCATCTAAACGTAACTCTGATAAAATTGATTATTTTTCAAATAACTCTGCATTTTACAAACTTGAATAATTGATAATACATTCTCGTAAAAACTTAAAAAATGCATAATTCGGTTTTGATTTTAAATGTTAAATGATAGTTAAGATTGTTCTTGTTTTTTCAATTTTAGAAAACACTAATTATTAAACCATTATTGTATCATCATACTTTCTATGAATACCTTAACTTGATTCATTTATTTTGAAAAAGTGATATTAATATTTAAGAGAATATATTTAATTTTTGAATTTGCATCTTTCTATAAAACTTCCATCAGATTATTATTGTTTATCCATTCTAAAATATTACACTCTCTCATCTAATATTTAATTGAGTGGTATTAGATTATCAAAAATAATATCTCCTCTTTAATAGAAACTATTAGTTCCTGTATAAAATATTTTCACATTTGACAATTATTTAGATTGAATCCAATGCATTTTCTGGCATTATTTGAATGTATTAAAGAATTCTTGTTCTTGTAAATTCATAATTTAAATTTATATATATATATATAAATTTCGTTTGTTTAATTTAATTGAGGGTGAGTCTTTCGACCCTACAGAAATTGGTGAACGGCTTCACAAGGAAGTCGTACACTCGCATTGGAGTAGTTTTCAATTAGCAATCTCGCGTATCCGTTGGTACGTCACTTACAGCGATATTGCCCCTGAATAAGGATAAGTGTCTA